TATTCAATAAACCTTTTCTTAAGAATTATCTTAGTTAATTTCTTCTAAACAAGAAATTTTTTTTAAAAAAATATTACAACTGTCTTTATTAAGACTTGAACCTTATCATGAACTACTAGTGCTATTATCCTCTTCTTTTTCTTTTTTCTTTTTTTTGATAAAATGTGAAATTTTTATTTATCCAAACTTACTGTGCATAATATAAGCAGCAAATATGCTGCTACCAGAAAAAGTATCCAAACAGAAATACAAGTAACCAACATGCACAAACTTAATTTCACACTACTACCACTTCAAGCCCAAGTTGCATACAATAGTTGTTGGCAATAGTGGGGATTTTGGCCGAACAAATTCCAGAATTTTGTTTCTTACATCAAACTGGATATCATGAATAAATGCACCCTTTGATTTGAAAACTTAGTGGTGAAACCTTCTATTCCTCTCCATCCACACATGGTAGACAGAGACATTCCATGTTAGCTTGATTAGAGTGTTATATATAAAGACTTTCTTCTAATCTTCTTACCCAGCCAATGCATTAGGCTTTGCCAGGAATGAGTAAAAAGTGTATCAGTTATAGCACAAAGTTGCTGCCATATATTCCTGGTGAAACTGCACTTAAAAAACAAGTGATCATTTGTCTCTGAACTACTATTGCACATGATGCAAGTGTCAGCAATTGTAGGCATCCATTGCTTCTGCCTAGCTCTTGTGGTTAGCTGGTTGAGAATGGCTAGCCAACTAATAAAGCTATGCTTGGGAATAGCTTGATAAAACTAGATTAGCTTGTGCCATGCTTTTCTGCCCTGCTTCCTTCTCAGCCAAATTCCAAGTTTGTCCAGTTTTATAAATTTTAGATGTAGATGGCACTCATGACACTTGATCTTTTTCACTTTGCTTTGGCCAAATACTGAATAGATGCATCTAAATTTGTACCAATTGAGGTGACCTGGTAGGGTGTCACCTCCAGAAATTTCCACTAAGGACACATATTAGCTTTGCTTGAAAAGGTATCCCTGTATCTCTTACAATAGAATCACCATAAGCCTCTAGCAACGGCCCAGAGCTAGTGCTATTATCTTGGTTAACTGTGCCTAACAAATAGCGTAAATTGATAACACTAGAGGGGTAATAAATTTGGTCAAATTTGCAAAGCTCTTTGTAGCTTGACTAGTAACACTCCTCTTGTTCCTTTAGGTATCCATCAAGCTTTTTTCTCTACAATTAGTAGTAGAATTTAGCACTTTCATCTCTCAACTTTCTGAAATTTCCAAAATTGTCTTCATAGGAATACATATTCTTTATTCATCCTTTAAGTTAGAAAATTATTAATGTTAAAATTTAAGTATTCTTATCCTTTTAAAAAAGTTTTTAAATTTAACTTATTTTTATAATTTGACCAAAAAACAGTCATTACCATTAATCAAACATCACTCAAACAAAAAGTTAGGCTTCACAAAACAGATTCTCAAAGAGAGACTCTTGCCATAAAATCTGCAATAATTCTTAGAGGCTGCTGAGAAAAATTTCCTGGGGAAGTTCATTTTCAGAGTCTCTGGGCTCTCGCCTTCCAGTGGTAAATAAAGACATTCCGAAACTTCTATCAACTTTAAAAGTTCCAAGCAAAAGGGAGCAGAATACCCATGAACATGCAAGCAAGCAAGCAAGCAATTCACAAGATAGCAAATACTGTGAAATTTCATTAACCAATTGCAATGTAGTCGTCTACTCAGTTTGAAATAATCACAAGATCCTCAAAATAGATAATCCCCTACCAACTAAATTGTTCTGATTGCCATTATCTTTGATCAGGTATGAACAAATAAGTCAGGAAACTTTGTTGGGAACCTTTAAAAATGGAAACGAAGAAACTAAAGCTCATATTCCAATCTACATACTAACTCAATCCTTATAGCAGCAGACATTAGTAGCTTTCTGAAGACAGAAAAGTGATGTGCAGTCTGCAGTCCACCCTGCATGGACGGACTGCACATCTTATAACCATTGATGAGAGACGGGCCCCTTGATGTTGAGGTGGTCCCCCCTTCATCAATGGCTATAAAATATGCAGTCCAAACAGCAATCTCTTCTGAATATTGTTAAACAGAGGATAATTAATTTGAAAACATGGCTATGAATAAGCTGACAATAGTAAAAATGATGTATAGACCAACAAGGCAGAATCCCCAAAACCTTGGCACCCGGAACCTAGACCAAGTAATAACTAATAAAGATCCCATGAGGCTCAAAAGCAAGAAAACAAATGCAATGACAATGCCGATGTGAAAATGAAGAGTATAAGCTTCTGGATAAACATTAGCTGTCTGCATTACCAAAGCTGTTCCAAGCCCAACAAGCATGTTAAACATTGGGCCAGCAAAGCACCCAGCCATGGCCATCGCTGGATGCCCTGCTTTGGCAACTGCAACGTCAGCCACAAGATCCCCCACAGAGTTTCCCCATGCAAGTACTGTCAATCCAAGCAGTGCTGGAGGCAATTCAAGAAGTGTTCCCAATGCTGCCAGGCAGCTCAGAAGCTCTCCAGCAATAGTGGATATCCAGAACACACTCATTATAAAAGCCACAACCACCACTGGCATTTGCTCACCCTTGGGAGGTTCTTTTTCAACTATAAAGTGAAGTAGTGCAAGAGAAGAGCTTGCAAAGAGTACTATGAACCAGAGAGGAAAATGGGTGTTTGGAAGGAGGAAAACTATAGGGTGATCTAATGGCATGAATGAATTGCAAGCATATAAAAGCAGCAGAGGGCAAAGAGCAATATTAGCAGACTGGTAGAACCTGTTCCATTCAGAAGGTGAAGTCTGTGGAATTGAGAGCTTTAGAGCAAATGAAACAGGAACCTCCCATACTTTTGAGATCTGAAATAAAAGACAAAATATTAGAACAGAAGAAAAAACCCTGATAAAGCCTCTACTGATCATTTTCTGATGCAACCAAAAACATGAAGCTCCTTAGTCCTTACATAAAACATGATTGACCATAAATTGGGGATAATATTTCATAGATCCCTAGTCAAACATGCAACTGGAAAGTGTGGTTGCTCAAATAGACAAACAGACAGGGGAAAGCAAAGTTCTATATCATTGTTATAGATATTCAATTTAGCAGAATGATATTGTTCACCAGCAACAAATAAAGAAGTTGCAAATAATACAACAAAAAGCCAAAGAAAAGATTTTAAGTTTGTAACATTTAAATAGGTATAAAAGGGAAGAATTGTACAGAATTGTACCAAGTTCCCAAAAATTTCAGATGTTATGCTTTCATAAGAATTTCAGTCAATCCATAGTGTATGGTTCAGAACTATATTTCCATCAATTAAAATTGTTGACTTAGAAGCATTTAGCTGACTTGAATTGGGTATCTCATATGAGCATAGGACACCTGAACTTTGTTCTTGCTTTTACACATTAATTTCTCCGCTAGCGGTCACCATAAACACACATGCATTGGCATCAATGAAGGATTAAACTTCAATGGAATAGAGGTTGTTTTTATCTTTTGATGACTACCATCATGAACAAAGAAAGAAATATTTCAACATAACAATATTCCTAAGAAGGAACTTCAACCTAAACTCCATATCTCCTCACTTCAATCTGATCATGCAACCATAGTGGGTTAAATGTTTTGAATGACGAGGGATGCAAAATCAAAATGCATCAAATATTTCAATCTAACAATAAATTTCCAAACCAAAAAATGGAGAGCATCTTTTCAGACAGCAGATATGGTTTAAATGAATCTCAAGTCCCCAAAAACTTAACAGCCGAATTAAGCTTAACCGGTCACAGCATTCACTACTATGTACTAAGTCAACAAAACATAAACAACACCGTAAAACAACCCATAGACCTTTCTATTCAACAAAACAAAGACCTTACCATTCCACAAACTCTTTGAAACCCAAAGGCTTCTTTCTCTTCCCCTAAGCTGCTTGAAACCTCTCCAATCTCACAATCTTCTTGAACCATTGCCCTCTCCAAACTCTGCTTATCCCTTTCTCTGCCAATCCCAAAATCCATCCAAAACACAAACCCCACAAAGAATATATAATACCCCACAAATCCAGCAGCTTGCCAAATAAAAATTTCACCACTCAGGTACACGTAGAACAGAAACAACGCCCCAACCAAATAAAAAAGCACGTCCCTGACAAACGGTGCTGGGTTGACAGCAAAAGGCGCAGCATAGATCGCGACGAAGCCCACAACAAGAGCAGACACAAACGTCCCCGCGGAGAGAATTGCACCAAACCCAGTTCGGTAATGGCCCGTACGGACGGCGTGAAGGGAGGCAAAGACATCTGGAGCTCCATTTCCGAGGGCTAGGAGGGTGACAGCAGCCATGGAAGGGGAGAGGTTAAGAAGAGCGGAGAGCTTCGTGGTGACAACAGAGAAGTGGGTCTGTGCTGTTTTGATGAGAATGTAGAAGTGGAGGAGGATGAAGAGAGAAAGGGAGGTGATTGAGAAGAAAAGATTTTGGTTGAAGAGACAATAATGAAGGGACAAGTAGTTGATGAGGCCATTTTCCGAGGTTGAATGTGGAAAAGAACAGGAAGCAGAGAGGACCGACCTGCGCGGAATCAGTGGGTGTTTTGGGGAGATTTGGAGGAAGAAGAGGAGGAGGGAGGAGACAAGGCAGAGGGAAAGCAGGGTAGATTTAAGGAAGGAGGGGAGAGAGACGGCCATGCCATTAGCTATCCCTTTCTGGATTGAATCGAGAATCCAGAGTGTTCAGATTGACAAAGAACTGCAATTATCATCAGCATCCTTTGAAGGGCATCAGATCTTCCACTAATGGGTGCTTTCTGGCTGTGGGTGTTGATGGGTATTTCAGTTCCAAATCCTTCCGAGGTTTCTGAGAGTCGAATCCAAAGAAATTGGGTGTTTCTCAGACTCTGAGAGGAACAAGAAAATCAGAAAAAGGTGAGATCTTTGCCGACAGACAACGGAATGCAACTTTAGATTGATCATTGGGTACTTAATTTCGGTCCAGATAGATTAGATTCGGATACTTTTCGAGAGAAAGGTGGGGTTCGAACTTGAACCATAGTGTTCAATTCAATGTCGACCACTACGAGGAGCTCTGCCTCCCGATACAGCTCTAATTAGCAGAGGAAAGGATCCTTGCTCCTTCAGACGCGGTTTTCGCTTTACCACCATGCCTTTTGCCAGCTAAAATTTTTTGGCATTTTCAGTTGTGGAGTTAATAAGGCCGTGTTTGGTTTAATCTTGGGACTGTTTAACCGTATGCCTTAAAAATACAAGTTAAAGATGTAATAATTATATTTTTTTAATTAATTTACATTAAAAAAGATGAAAGTAAAAATTAAGATATTTTGATATTTTAAATGTTAAATTTTTTTTATAAAATTATTCAAATACTCTTTAATGGTATTTTAGTTTTTCATTATCAATTCTGATATTTTAATTATCAGCACATTATGAATTTTCTCACTCCCTTAAAAATACAAAGAAGTTATCCTTTATTTTAACTTTATCGCCATATGGAAGAGTCCAATTGATCAATTAATTAAATTAAAGTTAATATTTATATTTTCTATACAAAATAACTATAAAGATGTATATTTGTTACGCATTTAGTATGTGCTCTTAAAACCCAGCATATGTAGTTGATTATTTAAAAAATATAATTTGTTATAGGATTTTTCTACCCTATCTTAGATTTATTGCACTTTTTTATCATTAATTTTTATAAAAAATAAAAATTAACTTTAATTTTATTAACTATTTAATTAAAATTATTCACATGATGTCATTATTGTTAAAATTAATTTCAATTTTTGTATTTTCTTATATAAATTAAGAGTTAATCTAACCTATGTTTGCAATAATGTGATTATTGTATAAATATAGAAAAATTAGTTTCAACTAATTAAATCAACAAAAAAAATTAGGCAAAAAAAATTATAAGATTACATAATTTTAATAAAATTTATTGAGAAAAATAACATATCTATAAAGTATGAATAAAGACTATGTTTATTTCTTTCCTTAATATTTTATTAAAATAATATAATATTAAAGTCATTTCTATGAAATGTTTTGCATTTCCAACTATAAAGACTATTCTCTTATGACATTAAAAAAAAATTTAAAAAAATCTTATTTCGTGTACAAATTAAAAACTTGTTAAGCATAGCACACATGATCAAGAAAATTCTAGAGTAAATCATAAAATTATACTACTAAATATCATGTTTAAGGATCAATAGCGAGGATATTAACCCTAATGTCACTTCAGTTTCAGTGACCCTATAAAATTCTACTAAATGCCCCCTAGGAAGTTTCATTTCTTAAGTCGCGTTTGGTAAAATTAATGAGACTATTATATTTTTATGAAGACATCTTGCATTGATGATTGATTTTAACCATCCATGTGCTGTAAATAAAGTACTGTATTATTTATTATCGCAATTAATAATCATAGATTGTGTATTTACTATCAGCAATAATGAATATATGAATCTCAATGGATTTAATATGATATTTCATAACTTAGTCACTTTCTTTTATTTCATATACTAACTTCTCATGTGTTATGCAGATCTAAAGTGGAAGCAAAGTTAATATTGTTTGCGAAATGCAATTCAATGAAGGAAATATTAACTTATTCTCATTTAATCTAAAATCGTATAACATGTGAGTGGAATACGTTAAAAAATAAAAAAAAAATTATTTTTTATTGTATAATTAACTCAATGTATATATATATATATAAGTGAGATATTGGAGAAACTTCAAATAACTGAAATGAGATAATTTTTCTTATTTAGGTGGGACAATAATTGTACTGATGATTGTTGAAAATTAATTTTAACAAGTTTTCACAACAGGAGCCAACATGAAAATATGAGTATTTTGAATTATGCCGAAGCGACCAAGAAAGGAGATGTTTTGGAAATGAGTGAGAAGAAGTTAGGAGGAAGAATGCTAGTTGCGAGTGAGTGTCAGTATCACTATGTTCAACTGCCCTTGAAGAAATAAAGTTCCACAAGCACTCTACCAAGTAAATTTATCAAGTTTATATAAATTATTAGTAGTTGATTTTTAAATCCCAAGAATTAAATGATAATGCTAAATCCAAAAATTTAGTTACAAAGGCTTGTTTTATGCATTAAATACAAATATGTTTATGAGTCCTTTTTTTAATTCACGCTCATGAAAAATTGTAGTTTAGACTATTAAAATACTCTTGTATCCCTATTCCCTAATGAATTAATAAAAAAAAAACTTTTTTTTTTGTTTGAACAATTAGAGTGTCATCAAGTTAACCTTTGCATATATATTTTAAAATTGATCTTTTTTTCAAGCAATTTTAAGAGCACACCCCACCATCGGCATTTAAATTAATTTCTGTTAAGTGCTCGCATCAAATCTAGTCTATAAAACAACATTTACTTACTAGTAAATCTAATTCTTAACTCGAGGTATCATTAGTATATGTGTTGATAATTGTTTTTTTTCTTTTTCTTTTCAATTGATAATTGATTTTAAGCAAGCATAATGTGCCTATAAACAAACTACTATTGTGTTATCCCAACAATCATGGATATTATATTTACTATAAACAACAAAAGGTGTGTGAACCACAATGAATTTATCATGATTTTTCATATTATAGTTATTACTTTTTGTTTTATATTAAGTTGTCATATGTTGTAGAGATCTAAAGTGAAACATGTTAGTATTGTTTCAATGCAATTCAATGAGATATTGGATTCTCTTGTTATTTACATAAGGAGATATTGGAGAAAACTTAAATAACTACCTTATGGTCAATCAAGGATTATAGATGAAGGGGTCTCACCTTGCATATCTTCAGTTATTTCATGTATTATATTTAACAAGTTTTTACCATCACGATAGAAAAATGTGATAATAGCTGACACACGTATACTACGAAAAAAAATTCATACTTAATTTTCAAATTCAGTTTGTAGAGTGATATTCTTTAATTATATTTATCAAATCCAGTTTTGTGAATTTTTTGCCAAAATGAAATTGGATGGAAACCAAATTGTCTTCACAATGCATCAGCTGTTTTCAAAATGCATGGGCGTGGTTTTGTAAGTCTGTTTTCTGTTTTCTTTGATTGTTCCGAAATTTGGATTATGATTGTTTTAATTTGGAGACATTTGTAACATCGATATCAAAAAATTATGCAATATCTTTTTTTGTAGTTCTGCCTGTAACGGGGTGTTCGATAAATTTTTTGAAAAAATTAATATTTTCCTCCAAGATTTTATAAGGGTGTTTTAATTATATTTACATATCTTAAAGTTATACTTTTTTATTTATTTTTGGTAGATTTAATCTAATTTTTTTTATTTTTTAAATAGAAATTTTATATGCAAATTTAACTACTTATATAAATAATAATTGAAAGTTTTATTATTTTTTTCTATATGAAGTTTTTGTTGAAATATTTTTTCAAAAAATTAATATTTTTCTCCAAGATTTTGTAAGGCTATTTTTATATTTACACACCTTAAAATTATACTCATTAATTTAATTCCATTTATTTTTAGTAAGTTTAATTTGATTTTTTGATTTTTCAGATATAAATTTATATAAAAATTTAAGAATTTATATAAATAATAAGTGAAAAGTTTTTTTTTTGTTATATAAAGTTTTTATTGATTATTTTTATTTGATAAAAAAAATTTATCATTATTTATATAAGATATTAAATTTTCATATAAAATTTATATCTAAAAAAATCAAAAAATAAACTAATACCACTAAAAAATAAATTGAGAGAGTAGTATATATAAATGGTAAAAATGATATTGTTGCCCCTTATTTCATCTTGACGCAATTTTAAATTTGTAAACTTTTATTTGCATTAAAGGAAAAAAGTATCCCATAATTTCTTTAATGTGAAATCCAATGAATCACTTTCCCTCTCTCAATTTTTACCAAACATAATAAAATTTTAACAAAATTTTATTATAAAAGTTATCAATTTTTTATAATATATAATTTTTTTGATTTTTTATATAATACTTTTTCATCCACTTTTCCAATAAAATGTGTTCGAAAAAGTTCAACCTCTAACCATATAGATCTGAGATCATTACTGTAATTGTCGGAAATGATATTAACCATCACCGGATACACGTAACCATCTCTTGCATCCAACGTATCTTACAGAGCTTAGAGAATGCAGAAAGTAAAACTATTTCTAAATTTCTAATGCATATCCTTACAAAGTATCATTAATTTTGCCATGACCTAAATAATTTAATTATTATATCTTTTCATTAAAACTTAGAGATTTTAATTTGGAATTATATAATATATAGATGAAATAAAATAAAAATAATAAATTATTATCTTTAATTATGCAATCAAAATAATATATATATATCTTTAATTTTTAATTGGGTTAATCGCAACTATATTACCTCTACTTTCAATTTTCATTCATTATCCTCCCTATACTTTCAAATTATTCGAAGTCCTCCATCTACTACTCTTCCAAACCAAACTATAGTCCTCCCTCTACTTTAACTTCCCATTACATTTACCTCCATCTCCTAACACCACACTAACGCCAGTTATAACCCCCATTTAACGGAGACATTTTCCACCATTAAGTGCAGTAGTTTATTGTTTATTTAATTATGTTAGAAACAAACCATTTGAATACCGATTGATATTGAATTTCTAGACTAAAATGCAACAAACAAACTCTGTCTGCACGGGACTGAAATTTCTAGTTGTTTCCTTAAAACAGAATGAAAAACAGAGATGCTTTTAGGGAACTGTAGTTGATTTTCTCTTGGATGCTTGAAACTCCTCTGCATTAACACTCCAACTATTTGACAAATTGAAGGCAAAATAATAATAGATTTACATATATATTGATAAAAGAGAAGTAAATTTATTTACATAGGCTGACAATTAATGGAAGCTATTGGCAAAGCTTTCTTTGTAACCACTTTCTTCGTTGATTAACATCCATTGCCAGGAACTTCTTTGTATTTTTCTCCTCTTCCAAGAGTTTACTAGCTTCCAGGAAGAGCTCATCATCCATACCAGGCACATCTTGAAGAGCGTCAACTATGTTTTCAATTGAGCTGTAAGATCGATCCTCCCCATAAGTGAACTGTGTTTTGAAGATGCTTGTGTTCTCATCAAATGCTTCCTGTATGTCCTGGCAAGGTTTCTGAGTTTTCCTAGGGAAGACTGACATTGAGGAATCATAGGGTTTCCTCTTCTTCCTAAGGTCATATATTTCAAACTCTGCAGCTAGAGATTGCAGATCTCCAAAGATGTCATGGAACCCGTTATCTAGGGTATCATTGCCAATATCTGGTTCAATATTCGTTCTTTCTGATCCATATAACCCCTCTACAGGACCGTTGCTACTGGCAGGGGATTCATAATCTTCTTTAACTACAAAAGTTTAAAGTACAAAAACAACTTTAGTATAAATTTGGCTTCCTTAAATAAAAGGGGAAAAAGAAGAAGGGGGAGAGACTCACAGGCAAATTTCTGTGTGTCCAAGTGCTCCCCGTTGTTTGCATTTCCAAATATCAAGAACAAATCGTCATAACTGGGGAGTGTTCTGTTGTGGTATGTCCTTGCACCAGGGTGCTCCTGCAAAAACCATAAGTAAGCATCTGAAGACTTCTAAAATTTTGCAACAGAAAGTTCAGTTGAGAAGCACCTTCACATAAGCATCCCAATGAAAATCATCAGCAACTATCATGCACTGCATCCTGTCCCAAGCAAATCCCCTCTGGTCGAGCAAAATTTTCATGTCAACGAATTGCCTCCTCAAGTTTATAAAGCGACTTTTCAGGACATCTTTGTTGTACTGATGTCCAAATTCTTCTCGGAATTTTCTGACCATATCATCCCAGGCATGTTTGTTAAATTTTTGATGAACCATACTCCCTTGATAAACTTGCTCCAGCATTAGATCAATGAAAAATCGGTCCATTGGTGGTGTCCAGTCAGTTCTCCAGCAGTAGCCATTGCCATTACTAAGTTTGATTCCTTTAAAGATTTTGAAAACAAAGAATTTGATGAATACAAATAAATCATCTCTCTCACAGTTATTAAAAATATTTTTGTTTCATTCAACAGTTACTAAAACTCATTGGTCAATCACAAGAAGATAATTCCCAATAATATAATTTTATTATAAACATAAAAAGTGCAACACAACTTAAAAACCATAAGCAGAATATTTATAAGCCAAAAAACACAAACGCTCACCATTACCATTACAGCTAGCATCCTGTTCTGATAGGTTGCTCTTTCCATCATAAGTTGAATTTCCATAGATCAAGCACAAATCATAATAATTTGGTTTAGATTTGTTTCTGTATGACTCTGCATCTGGGTGTTCCTGCATGTAACATGAGTTAGCCAATAGCAACTTGCAGTGTAGTTTCACATGTATGACAAACAAACAAGTAAATCACCCTGATGTAAGTATCCCAAACAATATCATGGGCTGTGATCATCTGATGCGTTTCATCCCAAGAAAACCCTCCCTGGTCAAGAAGAATCTTCATGTTATTGTAAAGCTGCCCTAAACTTTTATGATGATTCCTCAAAAGGTCCTCATCAAACTGCAGTCCAAATCTATCCATAAATGATAGCACCATTTCCATCCATGCTTCACTGTTGAAAGTGTGTTTGGTTCTATTCCCTTTATGAACTTGCTCTAACAAGAGATCAATAAGATGGCGGTCCATCAAAGAAGTCCAATCTCCACTAGGACTATCCTCATTCGCAAGTACTTGGGTGTCATCTCCTACAAACAAGCAAATTTATGATGGTTTTTAATAAAAGGTAATTCTGACATGCATCAGCTGAATAACCACTTCTTTTCTCAGGTTTTCCCTTTTATGAATACTCAGACTCATGATAAGCAGAATGGTTCAAAATTTTGCTAATTTTCTTCTCTTTGTCAATACTAAATATAAGTACCAGGACTCTGAGATATGAATGTGGTATGAAAGTAAAAAGTTGCACAAAGACTTCCATTCAACATTACAGTGAATGAGAAGAGTATCATGCCTAAAACACAATGAAATACAAAGGCACCAAATTTCGTTTCCCGAAAATAGAAAATCTGTTAGGATTTGAATAAGATGCAAATAATTTATAAATTAGCTATGAAAGCTTATGGTAAGTACATTATCTCATTAATAATGTAACAATCCAATTTCAAGCTAGTTCAACCGTTTTTGAATTCACCCAACCTAATTTTTGTACCTGCTAGATTAATGACTTACAAAAAAAAAAAATGAAGGAAGGAAAAAGGGGAAACCTAATCTCAATGCCAAAAAGAAACATACCAATCATCAAATCTGAGCCTTCACAGGCAAGATCTACAGTCTGGTCCAGATAACTGCATAGACCATTGGATCTTTCTTCACCATATATTACACATAGCTTGTGATAGTTGGGCACTGATTTTTTTATATATGACTGAGCACTGGGATGAGCCTGCATATATCATATCATAAGTAAGACGAAAAACAAAAGGCAATGCATTTTGAAAGCAAGAAAATTTGATGACAATTCACCTTGACATAAGAATCCCAAACATAATCTTCAGCAGTTACCATTTCTTGAGTGTCATCCCAAGAGAAACCATTCTGGCCAAGAAGACTCTTTATGCCATTATGCTGCCTCCTGAAAAATCTAGAACGATTCTTCAAAACAACTTTGTCATGGTGAGATCCAAATCTTTCATTAAAGCCTGTCTCTATTTCAGACCAAGCCTCAGGTATAAATTCATGACCAATTTTATTCCCCCTGAGTGCCTGGTCCAACAACAAATCAATAAGATAACGATCCATTTCTGGTGTCCAACATATGCTTAAAGAGTCACTTCTGTCAAAAGGACAGCTCTTCTTTTCATCACCTACATGAATAATAAATCCCAATAATAAGTGTAACACTTCATTCATCAAAAGCAAAGGCTGATCGAAGAAATTCATCAAAAGCAGAGTTTCAAGTGCAAAACATGAAGAAGCAGACATTTAATTTATCACCATAGACAGTTAGTTCATCAATTTCACAACTTCAGAAGGCAATAGTTATGCTTCTACCACATATTGAAAACCTACTGATTAAATGGTTCCCAAAAAATAAACTTCTATGCTATTATTACTAATATTTTCAGTTGTTACTTCTGTATATTATCAAAAATACATTTTGTTTTTCAGCCAATACTTTATAAAACAGTGTCTATGAAGCCATGTAACAAGAAGACTTGAATCCAAAGAACCATATTGTTGGTGAAGGATAGGAAACAATGAGTATACAAGAAACCAATAGTTTAGGAAAATCAATTTCTCTAGTCAGATTTTCATTGCTATTTGCTTCCAACTTTATTAAAAACTTATAATTCCCAACCTAGAACAGTAATGAAGCTAACCTGTATTAACTGCTAGCATTCTAGGCTCGATATTTCTTCTGTGGCGTATACAACCCCCAAGTCCATTGTTGCTTGCATTTCCAAATATCAACAACAAATCATGGTAGTTCAATAATCTCTTTGTTCTGTAAGTACGTGCATCTGGGTGTACCTGCAATGAAAATTATAATTGTACAATATTATAAAGATGAATTTCTATGTTACTTGATATATTAGTGACACACCTTGATATACTTATCCCAAAGACCATCATCTGCGATTATCATCTGTTGTTTCTCATCCCAAGAAAATCCCTTTTGTTGAAGTAAACACTGAACTTCAGTGTAGCACTTAGACAGTTTTTTCAATCGGCGGTTAAGAAAACTTTTGCCAAATTGAGAACAAAATTTTGTGTTGAATGAAGTGAGCATATCTTTCCATCCCTGTCTATTGAATGTGTCATTGCTTTTATTGCCCTTCTTAATTTGGTCCAAAATAAGCTCAATAAAGTATTGCTCCATGGCTGGTGTCCATTCTATTTTTGGATGCTCATTACTTGCTAGAGGAAGGCTGCCTATTCCAACAAGTAGAATGAGAGAGTGATTAGTAAAAGCAGTTGCTTCTTCATAACAAACAAACAAATTTTACCAATGTGTATTAGAACTTCAATCTCAGTAGAGAGTAAAAGTAATTAGATTTGCCTTTACTGCATTTATTTTTCTTGTTAGTTCATGTAGTTGGAACTAGAATTTAAAGATGAAAGAAAAGAGATGATCCTATACCATTTACATCATTCACTTGTGTGGTAGGGGCATGTTTAGAGAACAATGCAGGCCATGTAACATGGAAGGAGGTCCACATTACTTCTGATAAGAAGCTAAGAAGCCTATGTTTCATTACCTAACGAATGGGCAAAAATGAAAATGAACGGCTACACAGCTTTGAATTTGGAAATCTGCTATCCCAAATGCATAAATTCTAGCCACAACAAAGTTGTTGAATCAATTGTTACAAAATTAATCAGATTGTGAACAATATAAAATAGAATACATATTGATTGCAATAGAGACATGCAATATTACGAGTAATGGGACATACCAAAATTCACCCCTTGATTGTCATCATCAAAGTCTAAATCATGACTGGAACGGCTGTATCTTCCATCAGCTTGCGTATAAGCATATATCAGGCACAAATCATTGAAGTTGTTCAAATTTTTACTCCTGTACATTTGTGCATCTGGCTGAGACTGCATATGCATTACATTTGACAAAAAAATAAATTTCATAACAAGGGCAGGCAAGAGATTAAATTTGTATTCAACATTCTTGCACCTTGATATAGGCATCCCAGACATGAGGAGGAGCGATCACCATTTTAAGCGTATCATCCCAAGCAAACCCATTCTGGTCAAGGAGATTTTTAACATCATTATACTGCTTCCACAAAATGGTGTAATGACTTTTTAAGGTATCTCTATCATATTTACAGCCGAACTTCACATTGAAAACTGTCAGCATATCCGTCCATGCCTGTTTGTTAAACGTGTGGCCTAATCTATTCCCTTTATGCATCTGATCTAACATAAGGTCAACAAAAAAGCGTTCCATAGTGGGAGTCCAGTTTGTCCTTGTGCGATCACTGCTTGTGGGGGCTGCCATTTCTATCCCTACAATATACATAAACCATCACTGATCATGCTACGATGGTATCCATCCTACCATGCTAACACCAAGCAGATAAAATCTAAACATAATGATTAATCCTTGGTTAAAGAAGATGAAAAGTTCTAAAATGACAATCTTTTGCTCAATTTTAGAACGGGTTTGGATGAAGGATTCTAAATGAGAGATTTCAATGAAATTAAAAAAAAAAAATTTCAAATTACTTTTCTGAATGAAAAGGCAGGCTCAATTCTAGCTCAAATTCTATATAGACTGAACGAAACGATATCAACCAAACTAACAAAAGGTAAATTCAGTAAATATAACAGAAAATTCTCGAAGTTAAGCTTCATGCTGTTTTGAATATATAAGCAGTGAAAATAAATAAATATATAAATAAAGGAGCTAAATCACATGCTTTACTTTTACTCAGCTTAAACACCAGAAATGAAAACAGGAAAATTTCGATTTCTTATGTTTTCCTTCATTTTCTCGGTAACCAAACGGGAACTAAGTATATTACACCTCGGGTCAAAAGTATGCAGAAAGATTTGATACCTCTGAAATTCGGTATCGATTTGCCGGAGAAGAGAGGAAATGGAAAGGGACAAGTGGTTTTGCGAGTCCGATTGGGAATCGGGCAATAGTCTCGGGGCCTCTGTAATCACAGTGAACGATGAGCTTTGCCTTCCCGTTTGGGTCCCTTTTTCTGGCCAGTGTTCTGTTTGGCTGCTTCGACAAGCATAATACAGTGCAGAAACAGAACAGGATTGTATAATACAAGATCTTGTACTGTTACCGACCTAAGTTTAATTTAACAACTGGTACTGTTTTATAACCGTAGTTACTAGAAGTATTGTATTATATTATTATAAGAAATATTTTAATATTTAATAATTATATTTTTTAAAAACTATTTATTATAAAATTATTTAATTAGACATGTTATTATTTAAAATTAAATTAATTAATTATTTAATATATAATATATGAAAAATATTTGAGAATTTTATTAAATTATTTAAAAATTTTATTAATTTTAAATAAGATGACTTTTATGTTTGTTTTAAAAAATAAAATAAATAATTTATCAAATATATAAATTACAAAATTTTATAAATATGTACAAAAAAAAAAACTATAAATAGTTGTGCTAATTATCGTGCAATGGCAAGCGAGTAATTTAAATTAAACTGAAAAAATTGTTTTTTACTGTATAACTAGCGAAAAAAATGGATATTGTACTACTCCACATATTCTTTTGCCTAAATTTTTATATTTTTTTTATATATTTTTTTTTTACAAGGATAATGGTCAGAAAATTAATTTGAATTAGTAATTAACCGTTGGCAATTCGATCTCTATACTGAGTGAACATTCTACCTCTCAAATGAGGCGCGTGACCATCAGACCGTTATTGATAGAGTTCACGACAGTGGTAGAATTTGAAATTTCGACTATCTCATCCAAGCACTTAAGATTTATGGTCGAACCATTGAACTAAAAAATCCAGTTCTTTTGCCTAAATATTTGTAAAATATTGAATATTCCAATCCGAGCTACATTGAACAGCAACATCATGACTCTTGGATGGTGAAACTCAGGATGATTCCCATTCTTTTGAGGTCATGTTTAGCTGATGGCAAAAGATAGTTGAAAAATAATTTTTTAAACTAATTTTTTAAAATAATTTTAAATAGCAATTAATGATAAACTCTTTTTATTTTTATTTTTTAAAAAAAGATGATGAAAAAGAAGAAAGAAAGAAAGAAAGAAAGTAGAGAATAAGAGAGGGATGAGAGCAATGTAAAGCCCAAATCTTTTTCAATTAAAAAGTTCCCAATTGATGAGTTTTGACATAAAAGCCAAAAAAAATACCACTAAAAAATCCATGTTTTCGTTGTTTGCTCCAACATAGGCTGATGTCCTCGCATTGTTGAATTAAACGTTTTGATTATGAGGTAAGCTGTCTTTCTACATTCCGCTTGGACTGACCTATCTATAATCTGTTCAACTAATTTCCTATCCTAATTGAGAATCAAAAGAATAGTGAAGAAAATATGGTTCCAAAAAAATCCAGCAATATTCATTTTCGCACCATTTCAAACAACAAAAACTGTATTAGTTCTTTGATAACCCCCATCATAGGGAAGGCTAAAACCCCATTACAGGGAAGGCTAACGTTACAGCTTTAATTATAAGCCATTAAAACCTCATCTATATTCCTCCGGCAACTGGTATCCTGACATGACGATTTTGTCAGCAAACATCTTGCCAGTCTTTGGCATCACATGCCAATGCAATGTCAAGTTGAATTCTTTGCCGCGTAGGTTGTTTCCCTAAACAAGGAAAGATGGTAAACAAGACGGGAGTAAGTTCTTGATTTGTAACAAAGGGGTGACCTAATTTTCCAAAAGAAAACACCTAATTTCTTTGTAAATCCCTAGTACAAACATTAACAAGAACAGGGTAGACGATGATTGGAATACCTGGTCAACAAATCGATATTTGTTTGATGTATGCATCCAAAACTTGGCATGCTCTTTGGCAGGTATAATAGCATCCCAAAGTGACACCTGCAGAATTTTATTTCCATAATTCAAAACCCATTAGCATTTTCCATTCCATAAATAGCAATCTTGATCAAATTATGCAGGCACATAATCAGTAATGCATCAAACTACAAACAGAAGAGTCTAAAAAGATGGATCAAGATGAATTTAAGCTTACTTGGTTCAAGGAGTTCTTTGGGGTTTCATATTCAGCTGCTACGAACACAAAAACCTGCAATGATTTATCCAGTTGATGGTCAATTTTTTGAATCAGCTTCATGGTGATGAATAATAATGCTACAAGAAAATTGGCTAGGAAGTCTTAAGAATTTCATTACCCATCAACTGAATTGTTAGTGCTAATGGATGTTCAAAATACACAAAAAGAAGAAAAAAAATAGAAGGCTAGGAACTGCTTTCAAATAAGATCATAATAAAGTTTCCTAGGTGCCTTTGTAAAAACCACCACATGCACCAGTGCATGGAACTGAAGACTGGATCCAACAAAACAATAGCAAATAACATAATGTTTAATTAAAACAAATGAAAGATAAATATATGCCAAAGTAGTAAACCTGCTTAGTGTTCCAGGTAAACAACGACTGTAAGTCGGCTGATATATTCATCGTCAGGCTGACCTGCATAAAGTGAAAAGCATTTACTTAGAATTGCACCAACTGGCAGATTAGTAACCACGTCATGTGGCAGCCAGAAAAAGTTACATAATCACAGGGTTCAGAATAAAAGTCATACTATGCAGTTACAGGAGAAAATTAATACAGTAAGACTTAATAGCAAGCGTGGAACATCAATGAGGATTGGGTAAAAGGCCCCATTGATGCAGATATCCATGTCAAACTTGAATTCTGCACAAGAAGTCCAAGACCCAGTAATCTTCACTTCTTTTCTCTAATTCTAGAGAGGTAATTTTAAATTTATGAAAAAATAATTAAAATAAGCAAGAAAGTAAGAAAGACTTAACTGACTTTTGGTACAAGTTTTTTAAAATCACTTTTTTTTTTTTTTTTTTGCATTCAAAATCATAACAATAGAAGCATCCTCAAGATAAGGGGAAAAGTTACTTCATCAATGTATTATTAGGACTCCCATTGATGAACCATATACATCATCAAAGACTAACTTCTTATAATTATGATACAAAATCATCAGTTTTCATTAGCTACAAATTATTATAACAATACATAGTATGCTAGACAAACTAAATGCATAAATTGACTTGTTTGAGAAAAGCTAGAGTCACTTCACAAGAATGAATTTATCCATTATATTGCACTAAATTCAGATCTTTCAACTCAAATGTTGACCCAAATTCTAGCACTACTTGAAGAACCCACAGCACAGAAGCAACACATCCTATTAACTTAACATCATGAAGCTTACATCTTAGACAATTTTACACCAACAGTACAGAGTTTGCTTCTTTACAAACCATCTCTTTAGATTTTGTACCCATCTTCTCACGTCAAAGAAGCATCACTAAACCAACACCAAAATCATCTATAAATAGCCAAATACTTCCATGCTAATAGAGAATGATATAAAAGCAGGAAAGAGGGGAAATAAGAAAAAGGAACTTCCTCAACTACAATTACAGTATTTCACATGACTGCAGAAGGGTGAATTAAAGAAACTCCATTTCGGCTATGTTTGGTACAGCTGGTGGGAAGTCCTTTTGGACTCCAAAGGCTCCAGCTGCACCAAACATTACAATTTATGAAAAATGCTACAACTTCTCACAAGTTAGTATTTTGTTCATTCCATTGCAAATATGAGAAGCACGGAATTGGTGCTTCTGCAGGAGCTTCTCATTTGGATTTTAATGAAATTAACACATTATTTCTATTTTATCCTTACTTTTCTTTCTATTTACAAAAACAACACTTCTACAACAGTTTCTTTCCAACAGAACTTCTATTAAAAGCTCCAGCCACACCAACGGGCACTTCATGACTTCACTTGGTAGTAACACAAGCTCAAGGGGTTCTTAAGTATACAATTTTCACAATACCTATAATAATGAGATATTTCAACATTTCCTAATATTCTTGAAAAAAAAAAAACCCTTAGGATTTATAAAAGAATACCTAAGTCCCAGTTCCACAATGCATCGGACCAGCATATGGGCAATTGACAGAAGATAACCAAAACCAACAAAGAGACAGTCTTTTGGATAGCCTATTAATTAAATGGAGTACATAAACATACTTTTTACTCAAATTTTCAAAAATAAGAACACAAAGACCTACAAATCTAATCCCCAGTCAAAACCCAGATAACAAAAATGGGTAAAAGAATAAAATTCGAACAAAACAAAAGTGGAAAAGAAAATCACCTCATCATTCCCCCGCGGCTGCTTCTGGAACCAATTGATATTCACTATCTACAATCAAAACCCAGAAAAAATAATAATCACTAGGGTTTTTTAGAATTAGAAAGATGAAAAAATGGATTGCCGATCTATGTGAAAATAGATAGATGGGTGGGTATGTGGGTATAGATTGGTACCTGGATTTCCACAGAGGGGGAAGGAGTGTTGAGGTTGTCGGAGAAAGAGGCCATCGCACACATGAGCGCCAAAATCGTGACGGAGAACGTTAGCAGAGCGTTTAATCTGTACCCAAAAGAATGCATTTTCTCCTTTTTTTTCCTCTTCTACAGTCGAATCTGAATCTCTTCTTGGTGGACTTTCGTTGGGGCACTGCGCCGCCGCTGCTGTTTCGGACTTTCAGTTTGGTTTTGGTCCGAGAAAGAAAGAGGGAGGAGATGACTTTGGTGGTGGGAGTCTGACTAGGATGCTTGATGGTGTTCTGTCATTGGACAAGACACGTTCTGGGTGGAGCCCATCTGCTGATGTGGCTTACTTGGTCTGGATCACGTGCACTGCAGGTGATTACGGGGAGTTTCTAGTATTTATTTGGTAAAACCCCTCAGTGCCCCCCTCAACTTTAATTTTTTTGAGGATTTTTTGGCTAAACTTTGCTTTTTAATTTTTTTAAGGAAATGAGCTCCTTCAAGTCTCCAACTACACAATTTAGGTGAATGGGGGATGACGGGGATGACATGAACCTTTCTTGTAAATTAAATTATTAGTGCTAATTTTGTTAGTTTGTTTATCTTAAAATATATATAAGGAGAAATCGATTTACACATAAGTTTTACATATTGCACTTAAGTTTTATACATTACACTTACACCAAATCTTAATTATTTATCTTTTTATTTTTAAATAAAAAAGATAATTATCGTTAATAAATGTAAATAAATCTCAACTATTAAAAGCAAATGAATAATTGAGATTTTATATAAATGTGATGTGTAAAATTTGTGTATAAGTAGATCCATACTTATATTTTTTTATCTAAAAATCATAATAAATCTCAATCTTTGAAAATGAAAGGATTAATGCTTAAGATTTTGTGTAAATATAATATATAAAATTTATGTATAAGTAAATTTCTCTTCATGTATATAATATATTCGTAGCAGGGCTATGGATATAGCCACCATTTAATTTGTTAAGATTACTAATAATTATCAAAATTTCATTTTAATTTAACTATTAAAAATAATTAATAATTAATAAAATAATTCATATTTATTTTTTAATATATTAAAATTAATTCATAAATAAATATTTTTAAATATCATATTAATTTTTTTAAAAATTATAAATTAATAAAATTACAAATAAATTAATAAACTTAATAAATTGAACAATGACAATTGCCCAACTCCATAGGACAGGAGGAGGAATGGAATTATGGAATGCATTTTGAAAAGGAAAAACATGTAGCTTTTGAACAATGAAAACGCGTACATCGCTGATGAAACGATGTTCCAACAGTTCAAATAGTGTACTAAAAGCTTTAAATATTTTTTCAGGTTCCGTACAAAAATGGCATACTAAATTGATAGTGGGACAACAATATGGTGGTGTTGATGTAAGAGCCCCAACACTACAATAATTGTTGGATTCAAAGAAAAGATGTCATGGAAGTCAAAATCTATGGAACAAATGGACCTTTTTCTTGTTTTCCTTTTTCTTTTCTTTTTTTTTTTTTAAAGGTAATGGTTAATAGGTTAGTATTATTAGATATTAAATTGGTGATTCAATCTTCAAATCTGAAGAACAATCCACCTACCTTAATGAGAGGCACAACTATTAGATCGCTTAATAAAATTTGACCTTTTTCTTGTTGGAGCTAGATAGGGATTGATGCCCAACTTGCTTTTATTGATGTTTGAACCCAACATAAGGGAAAAAATATGTACATCTTTTGAGAAAGCAACTCAACTTAAAAACCCTACCGTTGTGACCATTCATACTTCAGCACATCCCATTGTATTGTCATTTGTGTCCCAAACTTAACTTTTTGTCCACCAATTATTATCCCAATAGAATTGTGATTGTCTTTGATATATAAATTATATTCTATCACTAATAACTTGAGTAGTTTAAACTGAGAGCTACATGGATTTTGATGGATAACTTCATATAACTACTAACTAAGAAACAAAAGAAAAAGAAAAACTATATATATAGAAGATTAAGGGGTTATGGAACAAAATTTCACTTATATCAAGCACCACAAAGCAATGCTTTCTGAATATCTTGCACTCTTGTAATATTACCAGTAGAGGAAGAAAAAGAAAACCCAGAAAGAGAAAACCTAATAGAAGGAAGAATAGAACTACTTTAGGGATTTTACATGATACTGCAGCTTTCAGCATTCTCATCACTGAAGTAGTGAGTATAATGCTCAGAAGGAACTGGAGGCGGCATTGGTGGTGGCCCATAGTTTGCGTATGGGTAGGGCCGGGCATACATCGTGGATTGGTACATGTCATTGCCAATTGGACGATGCTGATTGTTCATCAACATGGCCATGTATTGTTGTTGAGCGTAGGGGTTCATTGCTCCCATTCCTTGATAGTACGCACCACCATTCAATGCTGCACCTGCCGGTAGCCCTTGCACTGCAGGAAAATTGCCCATCTGGCCCATCTGACCCATTTGGCCCATCTGACCCATCTGACCCATCTGACCCATATGCATACCACCACCACCACCTCCTCCTCGTCCTCCTTTGCCATGATGAATGTCAACTTCATGAAACCCACCATTTTTCATTTTATTCATTTCAGGGGACCCATCATTCTTGCCTCCACCTTTCTTGGACCCATTGCCATTATTTTTCCCACCCCCACCACCTACGTTGCCATTATTGGATTTGGAGCTTTTATTGTTTCCATCTTTGTTTTTACCCTTCTTACCACTACTCTCCTTCCCACTTTTAGTCCTCTTTAGAAACCCTAGAAACCCACCGCCACCACCCTTTTTGCCGCCCTTCTTATCTCCACCACCTTTGCCTTGTTGCTTCCCTCCGCCACTACCGCCTTTCTTTCCTCCCTTGCCATCCTTTGTTTCTTTGTTTTCACCCTTTCCCTTCATCACCATGGGCATATCAATTGCACCTTTCTTGCCAAAATCACCGCCCCCACCTCCCTTTTTATTATTCATGGAAAACCCATTGGACCCATGACCATGGTCATGACCATGCCCATAATCCTCCATATCATCATCAAAATCCTCATCAAGTTCATCATCGAATTCGTCATACTCATCCTCATCTTCATCAAAATAATCATCACTTGCATCAAGCTCATCCTCAGGCAAAGAAAACCTCACAGATTTCTTGTCCTTCTGCTGATTATTTCCACCCTCGATCTGTTGTGGAGCAAAGTTATGACCACCCTTCTGCTGATTATTTCCACCCTTGTGAGACTTGTTGTCCTTCCCACCTTTCCCACCCTCCAAATGCATGTTCTTGAACTGGTTGCTGAGATTTTGAAACCCCTTTTGAGCTCCCCAGAGTTGTGCATGTTTCCCTGACTTCTCAAGCTTCTTGATGAGAATTGCTGGATCAACATTCCCTATCACTGTAACTTTCCCCTGCTCTGAATCTATACGGGTATCATAGACCCCTGAATCAAACAAATTTATGACCCAAAAACAAAAATCAACAAAATGAACCTCAACAAATGAAAAATTTTAACGAACTCCCAAAAACCCAAGATTCAGTAGACATGAAATAATCATAACATACCATCAATTTTCTGCAAGAGTTTCGTTACTTTCTGCTCACAACCATCACATTGACACTGTATATTCACCTTGAGAACCCAAGTCTGCAAGAAAAAGCAAAGCCTAGAAATTGGTACAACAAAGCACACAAGGTATAGAAGAATGGGAAAAAAAAAAAATTAATGAATGCATTTATATTTGTACCTGCATCTTCATGACCTCTTGTTTACTCATTTTTTCAAGAAACCAGAAGAAAGGTTTCAAGGAGAAAAATTATCTGAGAGATGAAGATGAACTAGAGGCTAGAGAAAGTTGCAATTATGATTTTTGGCTAGAAAAAAGGAGAGAGATACATATATATATATATATATATATATAAAGAAAATATAGTAGAGGTCTAGGGTGTTAAAGTTGGTTGTTGAGAATTAAACCTCTGCTGCTCTTTTAGCTTTCTCGAGTTTCATTTCTTGGGGAGAAAGTGAGAGAGAAGCGATTCCAAAGGCAGCAAGTTATCATTGGAAACAAGCTGGAGATGGCTTTGGCTTTATATTATTGAAGCTGAAGCTTCAAAGTGATTTCCAGCCATCTGTGCCAATATCCTAATACCCCATACCATATAATAGTATTAATTAAAAATTAAAGATAAGGTTAGTAGGTTTATGAAAATAAAATATAACAATCAAAGTATTAATGATCTTTGGAACTTATTGTCTTGGAAGTGCCCTGTGGGGCCAGGCTGGTCATGTGTGTATATTTTTCTTTTGTTTTGGGTTTTACAATAAATATCCCTCTTTATCTCTTGAGCCATGGGTCTCATCTCTTTATATATTTTTGAAAATTCATTTTATTATTGTGTTATGTATAATAAGGTGGTTCATCATACATTAAAATATTTTATATTTTTTTATTTATTTTAAAATTTAAATTTAAAATATCTAATTTAAAATTTCAAGTATTGTATAATATTACTGTAAAGTATTGTACTTGCAATTTTTTAAATATTTTACTATCTTAAAAACTATATTATTATTTGATAATTATTTTAAAAGAAGCATTCTATATTAATATAATTATTAAATTATATAAAATATTAATTAAAATTAATTTAATTATAATAAATTAATATTTTAATAAAATATTATAAAAAAATACTATAAAACTACAATTCCAAACATAACCTCAAACTCTTATTACTTGAAACTCACTTCTCAAATCATTACTCATCCATTCTAAACTTTAAAACTTTCAGACCTCAAATTTTAGAGACAAAATTTTACGTTCTCAAATTCTTTTAAGACACATTTAAGAGAGTATAACATTCTATTGCACTAAAGCAAGTGGGGTTCTAAATATTTGTCGAGTACACATGCTTTATTTAAATATTGAATTGCAGAATTTATGTTAAATACGGGTCATCGATATTTAATACTTTGCTACTATTTGACCAAAACCAAATTGACCAAAAATAGTTTTCAGTTCACACTAATTTTCTATTTGGACTTCGCAATGCAATGCCAGGAAACATTTGACAATTTCATTCTGTGTCAATCTGCTCCCTCTTCTAGTATCACAGACAAATTCGTGCTAGAATAATGGTTTGATTCCCATTATGCTTGCGAGTGTATCTTCTTCACAGTTGAGTCTTTCGTTTTCTTATTACAAATAGGTTAGAAAACGATGCCTCAAGTAAAGAAAAACAAAAATGTGAACGTTATCAACTTTTAATAGTTTGCTACCATTTGACCAAAACCAAATTGACCAAAAACAGTGTTCAGTTCAGATTAATTATCTCTTTGGACTTCGAAATGTAAGGCCAAGAAACATTGAACAATTTCATTCTGTGTCATTTTGCTCCCTCTTCTAGAATCACAGAAAAAATCGTGTTAGAATAATGGTTTGATTCCCATTATGCACGTGATTGTATCTTCTTCACAGTTCAATTAGTCTTTCGTTTTCTTATTACAAATAGTTTAGAAAAAGATGCTTCAAGTAAAGAAAAACAAAAATATGAAAGAAGAAAACTTTTATTTGCATTGGGTATCTTTATCAGCAAAAAAAAACACATTTTATCAAGTGAGTACAAAATGCTGCTTTCCAAGAAATACAACGCGTTTGCATTCATTAGTTGGCAAGTACCTTATTTTCAAAATTTGGTCATTTAATTTAGGATTTTGAGGGGATCCTAAATGGAGGACCCATAAAGCGTGTTTGATTAGCAATTTTTTATTTTCTTTGTGAAAAGAAGAAGGCTTCAAGGGCAATACTTTTCATAAAGTTCTATTTTCTATTCAAACTATTTATATAAATTTTTTCAAATTACTGCAAAAATGTGAACAATAATTGAAAAAAAAAAATTATATAACTTTATAAGTAATTTAATTATTGACTCTTTTTACTTTATTAAAATGTGTAATATTGTATACTTTAATTTAATTAATAACATATAAAAATTAAATAAAAAATTATACAAAATGATTTTCGCATATCATTACCACCACCAATTACTGTTAAGCGTGCTCTAAATTACTTTATTGATCAAATCCACCTTCCTAACCTAATGATTAATGGCCCAATTAGCTTAAGAGCTTTGAGACTTTTGCATCATAAATTTCGCTTCATACATCCCCTATCCCTACAATTCTTATGTTAAAAAAATTCTTGATTTATTTTTCTCTAGGGGAAAAAAATGTTGAACCATGAAAACTATTGATCCAATCATCAAATCACTTTTGTTGAAGATGTTTTATTTTTTCTCACCCTTCTTTGTTTTTTATGTTCTACTTTTTCTTCTTTTTCGTGAAGGGTTTGCCCAAAAGCATATGGAATCTAAATCAAGTTTAATTTTGTTCATAGATACAGACATGCACTTCAAAGAACTACAGAGATTGAAAGGTATCCCACAATGATTTTCTGTGAGTATGGAGCCTTCTTTAGGAACCAAATTATTGTTTGTCCACCTTAAAAGCCTAACCCCTGAGGGTAATCGCTGTCCTCACATCTTCTTTATCCAACCCTTTTTCCTGCAAAAGTTGTCTGAATGGTGACAAAAAAGAAACCCTCAACATGGCACACAAACCCTACAAAAATCTGCCCTTAATGGTTAATTCCTTCTTTTTCTTTTGGGTGTTTGGGATTTTACGATTCAAAATTGGCTTTTGTGCCCAAAACTTTCGATAGATCAACTTCTTTTTGGTATTTGAACAAAGAAGAATGGATTATAAAAAAAAAATAAAAATGCCGTGTGTACTTTTAATCAGATCTAAAGTAAAGCCTTCCCAGTTTGAAATCCCTAGCTAGCTAGCTCTTAAAAGAAGATTAGTGTAGCTTGGTAGGCATCAAATCTCAAATTGTGGAATGGTAATAATAAAATAATAATCATTGTATCATTATTGAATTTGCCATGTTTAAATGTTGTTTATAGATATCTATCTAGTATAACTGTAGACATACCAATAAGATGAATTAAAAAAGTTGTCTTAGGTTAGTACAAGTTTTAAATTACTAGAGATTGTCTTAGTGGGGTTGGAGAAGTTCTTAATTCTCTTTCTAAAAAATCAATGCAATTTCTCAAACTATCTAATTTAAATTAAATCGTTACAAAATTAAATAGTTATCTTTTAATGCATTAAAAATATATATAATATTTAATTATAATTAGAGAAAAAAAAATAAAGACAGGGTAACAGAAGAAATATCTTCTACAAATAAAATCCATTGACTAACATCCAAAGTTCTCAGGGTGGAATCATCTGAGCTCTGGAAAAAGAAGCTTGGTGAACACTGGAGGAATGGAAGAGTGGAAAAGCAGACGCATGATCAAGCAATTTCATTGCACCCATTGGCTTTGTAGCCTGGTTTTTGACTCAACTCTGATGCCTTGGTGCAGGCAAACTTTGAAGACTAAAGACCAGATAGGTTAAAAAAACAGTGCTAATGTCTTCTCCAAGTTAAAGGGGACAGGACTCTGATCACTTCTCCAGATCTTTTCCAGTTTTTTTAATGCAAAAATTGCATGAAAAATAAAATAAAATCATGTTAAAATCAATATTTAGAAATGACCTAAGTACCCTTATTGACAGTTGTTTTTGTCGATTCATTAAGATACTCGAGTGATTTTACTGTTCAGACTGACTGAAAGCATACAACTCGAAAAAAAAAAAAAAATCTACTCCAAGATTTTGTTGGTGGGTAAAAAATCATATGAAAATAGTAATTTTTTTTTAATTTTAAATTTATCTCAAAATAATAT